CGACGGAGGCGGCGAAGCCCGCGGTTTCGTGTTGGCCAGGAGGTGGGAGCGGCTGAAAAGATGACGCCTTACGACTCAGTGGTTGTGGGAGGATGACATCGAAATTCCCTGAAATATATCGGACTGGAAGTGGTCGACGTTGACTGTGGTTGATTGATTATTTTGTGTTTCCGGGCTCATTAACAGCTATGGTCACCAGTTCCATACGTGTAGTGAATGTTTTATCATCAGTGGCGGAGGTGTTCTTCTCCCACTAGGTGGGTGATCTGGCTCCGATCCACGCGTTGGCTAGCGGGGCATTTCCCTCTCTTGGTATCTCCCACCAGCAGGGCTCCGCCCCAGTCGGACAAGCTCTAAGCTCCCAATTGGTCCCTCGACTTGTAGTGTAGTGCATGTAGATGTAAGTGGGTAAGAAGTGAGGATAGGACTAGCAATGGACAGGGAAGATCGCACGCGGCCCGAGGGCCGTTTGTTAGGGTACTACTCCGACATACGCCATGCATTGATGATAGAAATCACGGAAAACTACCAATTAGAGCAACTGGCCGCTGGAATTTTCCTCCACGCAGAGGCGAAATTCGAGTTGGCTGTAAGAAATCATACCTCGTCAGGACTCCAACCCTAGGACTGCCCGGCCAGAGACATTGCAGTGATATTGACCGTAGTGGTAATGGTGATGACGCTGAGTAGGTCCGTGGTTTAAGTGGCTTAAGGGTAGATAATCATGTCGGCGGCTGCGGACACTTAAACACTGTATTAAGGGGCAGAAGAAGTGGTGGCATGACTGTAGGGGCGCGACCCCATATGGGATGTTTATAATGACAGGGGTGTTACTGGGTGTTACTGGGTGATACTCGTATACCCCTGACGGGAGCTGGCGGCAGCGGTTACGATGATGTTGTGGCGGATGTGGAGACAGTGAGAACTGGACAAGGAGGGGTGGGGGTGGCGGAGCTGAGAGTTTCGTGATGTCTGTGGCAGGGCGGGCGATAGCAGTGCTGGCAGGAGTGGTGATGGTGGTGGTTGGGGTGACGGCAGAAGCTGCTATAGTCGGTTAGTATATCTACCACCAAGTTCATAAACTTAATTACAGAATTAATAAAAAATCGAATCTAAAGCGACAACGTCACTGGGTGTCGAGGCGATAAGTGCATGCGGATGCGAGGGTAGAGAAATAATGAATGTGGTAGTGGCGGTGGCGGTGGCGCTGGCAGTGGCGGTGGCGATGGTGGTAGCGGTGGCGGTGACGGTGACGGTGGCGTTGGAGATAGCGGTGGTTGTGGTCGTGGTCGTGGTGGTGGAGGCGGTAGCGGTGGCAGTGGCAGTGGCAGTGGAAGCGGCGGTGGCGGTGGCGGTGGCGGATATTCGATTGTGATGGTGGTCGCGGGCGTGTGGCTCGCTTGCCGGTGCTGGCGGAGGCGGCGTGGATGGTGGCAGTTGACGGAAACGACAGTGGCGCCTGTAGCACGAACGGCAGCGGCCGCGTCGTGGGCGGCAGGAAT